ACCACACACACACACACACACACACACACACACACACACACACACACACACACACACACACACACTCTGTATATATGCTCACACATACCAGAGTTCCTTGTTCTTTCTCCTAATATCTGTTAAACATTTGTTACTAATGGTTTCATAAAATGCCTTGCAGTAAGTCATTAAAGAATGTAGGCTGCAACTACAAATCACTTCGCACAGATGAATACAGGATGTACAGAATTTCCCACAAGATTTTTAGTAAAGGGAGGTGTGGAAGCTATCAAATGGCCTCAATATGTTCAGAGAAAGCATGTCAATACGGAACAATAGTGCACAGCTTTAGTTACACCTTACACAGTTAAATGTGGAGGAAAACTTTTGAGGAAGAAACCATGTAAGAGTGAAATTAAAGGGGAAAAACAGCCCCTCCCCAAGATGGTTCATTTCTCACCCTTTGGGGAAAACGTGGATAAATACCGTATCATCTTAATTAAAGCCCCAATCCTGCAATGAGTTCCAAGTAGGAGCCCACCAGGACCCCCAATGAAGTCCATGGGGCCTACCCCCACAAAGTTCATTGTGGGATCAGTGTCTAAAAGTGTTGTCCAAGTGTGACCGACAGGAAAAAATGGACAGCAGTAAAGCTGAAGATCAAATACCCCGAACAAGGCAAACACTCTGCAAGAGAGAAACCCACCTCTGAATCCCTTTAGTAATGTCAATCTTTAAAAAGAATTGTTACGAAGTAACAAACGTCTTTATAAATTACTCCATACTGTAAACCATCCCTGCCAAACAATGCACATAGCTTCACACAAAAAAACAAACAAAGAAGCAGCCTATTACAAAGTTCTGCAGAATGGGAACCCTTCAAAAATTCTTATCTTCCAGTTGGTGGATCCTCTCCAGCAATGCAAATTATCTCCTGAGTTGGAACTCCACCTAATGATGAGTGAGGTCTTAAGCAGACCTGGCTGAATAATTTTCAACAGAACGTTTTCTGTCAAAAATGAAATGTTTTGCGAAGCAGAATTCTTGTTTTCTGGCCAGCCCTAAGTCTTAACGAAGAGAAGCCCCAAAGAAGAGAGCATTTTCCTCATAATGTGAAAGTATTTGAAGGAGGAACTCTTCACTGCTGTAGAAATCCTCAAAGGGAACCCTCCCTCCCCCTACACACAACAATAAGGAGAAAGCTTCAAAGGCTGCTATGCAGAGATTGAAGCAATCTGTGTCTTGCTGAGAAAATTATCTTGTGCAAAGGGGTTGGGGGGATATGTTTATGTCAGTTTTGACATTAAAGGAAGATCATCCATCCTCCTCTCTCCAGACTTTTCCTTTTGGTCTTCCCATCTAGCACAAAAAATTATTTGTTTTGGATGCATTCCATGCACTTTTTAAAAGTGAAGTCAGCTGAAAACCTGTACAAACAGAGTTGAGCTCCCTTAAAGCAGCCTTTGTACCCAACTGGAGTGACTAGAATTTAGTTTATTAATTTCCAGTGCACACACTTTTTTCAGAATGTCCCTTGTTCTATAGATTCTGCCAGTGAGGCATCTGCGCCCCCAAAGTAGTGACTACAACACAGTTAGAAAATCCAAGCGATGGTTCCTAAGATTTTCAACCACTTAATGCTAAATTGTTGCATTTCCACCTCAATGACATCTCCTCCATCTGGTCGCCTCTTTGTGTCTCTTACAGTATTACTGTGATGAACTAATAACATTAAGAGGGTTGACAGTACAGCTGTGTGAAACCTGCAGGGTACAGTTCATGAAGGGCACCATCATGTGGTTGGCCTGGAGATGGAACCAAACTAACTGCTGCATGTTTGGTGGAAAGTTTGAATTCATTGGGCAAACTTACAAGGTGACCCAGTACCCTTCACCCTCACCTCTCTCACTCCCTCTTGTGGGAAATGTAGCATATAGGAATAGAAGGGTATCCTTTGGATAGTTTGTGAGCCTTCTAGTAGTGCTCATTGTGTACTATGTTTCAAAAGCAGCCAGAAACCAGTCAGAGCTGCATGTAACTAGCTAGACCTGGCATGTTTGTGTATATTTAATAAACACACTTATCTGGCACCCAGTCGTACCCATATGGCTTCTTTATATTGTCTGTATTGTGTAACTAGAAAAAGACACAATAGGGTCTTCTTGTTTCTCCTTCTTTCCCAGGAACCTCCAGAAGATCTCTTCTTGCTTTAGGGTACATCTACACTACAACTTAAGGTGTAACTGTAGCTCAAGTAGGCTACGTGTGCTAGTTTTAATCTAGCTAGCACAGGGAACAATAGGAGTCAAGATGTGTCAGCATAGGCTTCATTGCAGGCTAGCTGCCACAGTAAATGTCTGTCTGGGATGCTGTTTATTGGATATGTACTCTGGTTGCAAGCCCATGCTGCCATGTCTTCATTACCATTGTTACCCACACTAGCTAGAATAAAGCTAGGATGGGTACACCTACTCTTCCTTTGCTGCGTGGATATACCCTTAGACTTGTCTTCACCACGGGGGTAAGTCGACCTAAGTTACGCTACTCCAGCTATGTGAATAACGTAGCTGGAGTCAATGTAGCTTAGGTCGACTTAGGTGTTTTCACTGCACTGCGTTGATGGGAGACGCTCTCCAACTTCCCTTACTCGTCTCAGAGAGCTGGAGTACTGGGGTCGACCAGAGAGTGCTCTGCTGTCAATTTAGCGGATCTTCACTAGACCCACTAAATCGACCCCTGCTGCATCGATTGCAGCAGTGTGGATATCCTCGTAGTGAAGATCAGCCCTCAGATGTTGTAATCTCCCACCACTTCTCCCCCCTCCAGCGACCTAAGCCCTGCCACCTCCTCCTCCCTCCCAAGGTCCGTAAGTGGTGCAGAGTGGCTGCTGTAGCATGGTTTTCAGGTGGCTGCAAGCTACTGACTCATGCTTCATTCAGTTTTTCAAATGGCATTTTGGGGTTGGATACTTCCAAAAGGGAAATAGAAATGGGGGAGAAAAAGCCCTCCCACTTCTGCTCTCAGCTGGTTCTACTGAGTTGGAGCTGAGAGGAACTGTAATCCTTTGCATGGTAAGGACTGTCCCCGGGAAGAGACACCTCATTAATGTTCATGCGTGGTTTCTTTAGAAGGGTAGCACACTAATGATTATTGGACGTTTATCAGCTTGAGCTCAGCAGATCGAGCTGGCAGCAATAGCAGGAGTGTTTTCCCTTGAAGAACAGTAAGCTTGGTGGGTAGAACAGGACAGCAGCTGTGGGGAGGGGAAGAAGGGTAATTGCAGGAGACAAGCTGGGGACAGGGAGTTTTGGATTTCCCAGCTAAGTGAACAACTTCAACCAAAGTTTGCAAATTTTTGTGAATAGGGGCCAAGGTTTGTGAATACATTGATCCCTGAACTCAAGATTCAGTTTTGAGAGGGACTGGTGCAAATGTTACACACAGCCTTGTTTGTTAGCAATTTGTATTGGATTATAGACATTTAAAATGGGTCTAATTCTTATCTTCACTTTGGCCATTTTACACCACTCTGACAGTGGAAAGGTGCTTTAAAACAGGAATATATTATACATATGCACCCACTAAAAGGCCCTGAGGCCTTAGAGTAAATGAGAATCAGG